ACACACACACACACACACACACACACACACACACACACACACACACAATATACCATCAAGTTACTTTCCATTCTGGCTTCTTTCATCCCGGCAACTTCCTCTAATTCTGTATTTCAGTCATGTAGCAGCAAAAGGTCAAGGGGCAGTAAGAAAGCTCTGACTCAGCTACTTTTACTCCATGTCCACTTAACATTTCCATGTATGACGCTGAAGCACTGAAATCCTGGTCTTGTTCTAATGGGATGGTTGTCCTTTAATACCAGCTTGGGTACCAATTAAATCAATTGAAGCTATTTATTAGGGTCTTGACATTTTAAATGTTTGACAACCCCACCTGGACTGATTGCAACATTCACCCCATGACTCAGAACATCAGACATTCCAAGATAATACTAATTTTAGTTGTCTAGTCCACAGATGACACTAATACACATGGGAGATGAGAGATCTCTTGCTACAGTCTGATTTGCTTACCTGATCTTGTATCAAAGGTAACCACAAACACAGCCACGATCTGGTCTTTTTCCTCCCACTGATCCCTCGCCGAGAGGCCGGGGAAGGGTATATGACGATCTGTACCGAGAGGCTCTGTCCACGGGCTTCCGTTCCCGCTGACAACCGCAGCTTTTCCACCGCTCGTCAGGCTGCGTGTGATGGTGGTGGCCGCGGTGGTGCTCCACCCAGTGCGAGCCGCGGTGCCCGTCGGTGCGTGCCGCCCGGCTGGCTGCGAACTTTTCGGTGCGACCCCCTCCCTGGGCGGCGGCGGCTGCTGCTGCTGGGCCGCCTGGTTCGGATCGGGCGGTGGGATCTCTTCCCAGTCCAGCAGCGGGGCTCGGTCCGACTGCTTCACCATGGTGCTGCTGCCTCTGAGGACTCGGGAAGGGAGAGAAAAATATAACAAAAACTTGTCCGTCCGGTTGAATCGAGTAGACTACGCAAGATGCTGGAGCCGGATCATCATTTGCTGCTGCTCGCTGGGTTGTTTTCTGTGTATTTGTAAGCGTGTCACATCCACTGACGGGCTGTTTTTCCTCCGCCTGTCTCACTGTTTTGATGACGTCACTGACTTCCGCCCACGTGTCTTTATTACTATTTCATACAGTGACCTAATTTGGGTTATGGGCTGTATATTTTTGCCCATAATACATTGCAAATTCACATTCTTATGGACATTCTGCCGTAGTGTGCCTGCTTTATTCAAGTCTATGACATAATCCTTCACAATACTTTAATTTGATCTAGTTTAGTTTGATCTAGAATGTGAATTTTAAGTTGTTATTACATTATCCATATGCATCCATATGCTTCGTGTAGTTAGATTTCCATATAGTTTTATGATAACGCCGTGTTAAATCGTCTACGCAATTAACAGCCATTTTATAGTCAGGTGTGTGGTTTATGAACAATTCAGCCAATCAGAGCGCTAGATTGTGTCAACCTGGCGGCGTAGTTTACTTAAACAGGAAGTAATTTACATACAAGGCGCGAAATTCAAGCGTGGTGATGGTGGTCGTGAGGGGATGTGACTTGTTGGTGAGTATTCATGATGAACACACATTATTACTCAAACTTAAATTACATACTGATGTGTGTGTTAATGACCACTATGTGAAGCACCTGTTGAGCTTGAAAATTACATAATGGCTTGACTGGGATTCTGCTTTTCAATTGCCCTAAATTACATGATTTGGTTGGAAGAATTAAAAAATACTAGTAATTTTGACTTATTGATACATTTATGGGACTTATGTTGTGGAAGTAAAAATTACCTTTTATCATACTGGATATATGTAAGCCTACTGTTTTAGAGATTGACTATAATTTGTTTTCTCTCATCTTGCTGAAGATACTTTAATTAACATAAATCCCAAATTTAAAATAGAAAAGGTGGTATTTTTGCTCTATAAAATCAGGCAAATGTTGGATCAATCATTTTATGGGAAACCTTTGCTAAAACTCAGGCCCCAAGCATGGCGACATTGTCTGACGAGATCAGCCAGCAGCTGGACTTCACTAGCTGTGGAGAGGAGGGGAGTAGCAGTGACAACAGCTCCGATGACTGCGCCTTCAGGATCTGCAGTCCCAGGAGCCAAAGTCCCATGATCCACAGTCCCGGCTCTGCGTGCAGGACGCCCAGGGTGCAACGCCACCGCAGTAGAAGCAACACCCTGTGTTCCCCTTTACAGTGCACCAGCCCTATACCTTACGCCTCCTGGAGTAAACTGAGGCTCTGTGACTCTCCCAGCACACCCAAGGTGGGAAGTAATTCAGATTGATAGTCCTTGGTGTGCCCCTGTGGTCCAAACCAGTTTATCTCCAGTGGGAGGAATTGCGTTTGTCTTTTTTTCTCCCCTGTAGAGCCTGCTATCGAAGTCGTCCCAGCCTTGCTCCAGCACCAAGATAAGCCGCCCTCAGCGGACCCTGCGTTTCGCCTCAGCTGCTGCTAACCTCATCCAGGCACCTTCCGTCAATGTGAATCCTTTCACCCCTGACACTGTCCGCAGGAACAGCGAGCAGCAGTGGAAGAACCGTTGTAGGAGTGACAATGATGGTGATTATGGACGCAGGTAACTAGGCTCCACGCTTCACTGTAGATCTGTAAGGGCATTGTAGGAGCCAATATGTGCCCAACATTTTTACTCACAGATGGGGATGATAATTGTGTGGAAAATTGCCCAAATGTGTATTTTAGAATATCTCGCTTAACAGAAATGAGTAGGTGTCAAAATAAGAGCTCTTTTCTTACAGCAAACATTTGAATGTCGTCATTGGTTGGTAGATTAGATAGAGGGTGAAATTTAAAAAATAATTTGAATTCTTCAAGCGTTTTAGCACTCTTGCATACAGGCCTGACTTTTATCCCTTACTAGTGTAGTTTTGTTCAGAGTATATAAAGGTCTGAATGCTATATTTTTATCTTTCAGGTTGAAACACAGCCTAATCTCATCTGAGGAGGATGATGAAGCCTTTCTCCCACCAAAGGTACAACTATTTTTATCAGTGCTGGATGTAACCCTCCCTCTCAGATGCTTCCGATATGATTTCATCATCAGCCTTCGTCATCTTCGCCTGCCTCCTCACTTCTTGTTTTGTCCAAAATTACATGCTGCCAATCCTACTTCCGGGATTTCTCGAAGGAATCTCCAAAAAAAAAAGTTCCGTCAGAATCTTTTTCTGAAGGAAGTGCTACCATATTTGGTGACACAAAGAAAACCCCACTCAAGACTGATCATTGTGACGCGTGTTCCTTCTTTTTGAAATTTATTTGATTTTTACCACAAGGCCCTCCGTCTGTTTATCTGGCAGAGGCGAGCTGTCCAAGCCTTCATGCTGTCGCGCTATGAGAGTGAGTTCCTGGAGCTGGAGTGCATTGGTGTGGGAGAGTTTGGAACAGTGTACAAGTGTGTGAAGAGGCTGGATGGCTGCTTGTACGCCATAAAGCGCTCTCGCCAACCCCTGGCAGGTTCTGCCGATGAGTGAGTCAGCAGCATGTCGCTCTGTGCCAGACACGGAACGGTTCATATAAAAAAAAATGTTGTTCCTGAATTGATCCACATTTATCTGACCATTTTTCATGTCCTCTCAGGCAGCTGGCCCTAAAGGAAGTGTATGCGCATGCTGTTCTTGGGCACCACCCACATGTTGTTCGCTATTATTCGGCATGGGCCGAAGACGATCACATGATTATTCAGAATGAATACTGTGATGGTAGGTTTCCCCTTACCACCAAAAGCACAGTTTAGGTCGAATGAAATGAAATTCTAAATATTTTTAGGTGAACTAGATTGAACTATGTGGTTTTGATACTGTTGATGTCTGGGTGCCAGGTGGAAGCCTCAGTGATGTCATTGTGATGAAGGAGGTGCAGGGTGAGCTATTTTCAGAGGCCGAGTTGAGGGATCTGCTCTTACAAGTGTCTATGGGGCTAAAATACATCCACAGCTCAGGCCTCGTACACCTGGACATCAAGCCAAGTAAGTGTCATTGGGCGGTTCCCCATGTAATTCTTGTAATGTCCCGTCTAAACCTGAAGTCTCTTGTGCCTAAAAACTCATTTCATCCCTTTTGCAGGTAATATATTCATTTGCCAGCATCCCAGCACAATTGCAGCGGGTGAAGGGGAGAGTGAGGAGGAAGATGACAGAAGCGCTTCAGCAGGAGTCATTTACAAAATTGGTACTGTGTTTTTAATGTTGGATACATTTCTACCTTACATCGTTGTTTGCTCTCAAGTCTGAGCCTTGTTTTCTGCAGGGGATCTGGGTCATGTGACATCGAGCAGCAGTCCTCAGGTTGAGGAAGGGGACAGCCGCTTTCTGGCCAGAGAGGTCCTGCATGAGGTAAAGATGTTGCAAAGTAATTAGTGTTGAAGGAAAAAGTAGGCTTGGCTTCTGAGTTAATAGCACCTCACTGTAGGTTAAAGGGCCAGTGTGTAGCATTTTAGGGGGATCTGTTGGCAGAAATGGAATAAAATGTTTCTGTATAATTAACTGAAAATGAGAATCTGCTATAGGTAGGGTCACTCACGTTTGTGCATCGACCACCGTTGTTCTTCTACACGCTTGGCACACAGGAGAAGCTTCAGTCGGTTGTAATCTGCAACCTCACCACTAGATGCAGCCAAATCCTACACACTGCACTTTTCAAGAAAATAATCTCAAATTCAGAGGTCCAGCTGTATTTGCATTGTCTCTCTGCTCTAGGAGTACAGCCACCTGCCAAAGGCAGACATCTTTGCTCTGGGCCTGACAATTCTGCTGGCGGCCGGTGCTCCTCCTCTGCCTCAAAATGGAAATGAGTGGCACAGCCTTAGAGAGGGGAAGCTCCCCAAACTGCCGAAGGAGCTATCTCCTCCCTTCAGAGGCCTACTTCAGGTGCTCTTGTTTCTGTTGTTTTTGAGCTGATACCCATGAAAAAAACACTTTGTCACTAGTATAGCTTGTCAAAAATGCCTTTTTTCTTTGAGTCAGTTGTTGCTGGATCCAGACCTGACGAAGCGTCCATCTGCCAGGGAGCTTTGCAAGCACGCGGTCTTGCGGGAGGATAGGACTGGGAGGGTGGCTGCTCAGCTTCGCAGAGAGCTCAATGTAGAGAAGTTCAGGACAGCCATGCTTGAAAAGTAAGAGGGAAAGCATGAGGGATAATTTAACATGCATCGCCAGTTCTGTCTTCTTCATCATTCATTCAGTCTGAAGACTTGCATGCTGATGCCGGTTAAAAGCATTATATTATTTCCATTTTCTCCACAGAGAGCTCCAGGAGGCTCGTCAGGCAGCTTTGTCACCCAGTCAGCACCTCTGTCCCCGGATGAAACCTGCTAAGATGGGGTCCCTACCCAGAGCTGGAAAGAGGCTTGTCGGTGGGAGGACTGTGCGATCCATGAGCTTTGGCTGCTCGGGGTATGGAGTCTGATGGGACGTCATAACGCCCACACGCCTGTCCTTTGCTCAGATGATATGAGAGTCCTTCTGCAACCAGGCTGCGGTAAAGAATGTCTCAAGGAGAGGACCGAATATACAGCAAAGATTTCGAGGGAACTGATAACTGGATTGAATCTTCCTATAAATCTTCAGAGTGATGTAGAGCTGTGGTTTGTGTGTTTTTAAAGGGCTTATCTGACTCACTCAAACAAGTGATTTTCTGGCAGAGGCGAGGTGTAACTGCTGCAGACGAATTTTCTTTTTTTTTTAACTGTAAATAAAAAGTTTTAAGCATTTTATCAGATGGCTTTCCATTTTTTGTTATTTGAGTTATCTTTGCTACTCTTAACTCTTGTACTATGTAATCCAAAAAGCACATTAAATAAAGGCTGTTGGACAGAGCCTCACAGGGACTTTCCACTGGCTCTTTTTTATCTAGAGCTGCAGACAACTGTGACTGTTAGGCTAGGGGTGGACTTAGGAAGGAGCTATGAGCCATCATACTGCATATTTGTTTTGAGAGCATGTCACGCGATTACGCTGATTTTGACAATACAGTCATTTGCTTAATCTTTGTATTCCATTGTACCTGCAGTAATTAAGGTGTTTTACAACAGGTTACATATAAGTGACATTGGGTAACTATCAGTAATATAAAGGGTCCTAAAAAACACACTGGAATCGTTATTTCATATGCCTTGGTAATTCAAGGAAGACTATTTTCATTTTGTTTCTGTTCCAGTTTATTACTTATTTTCTCTGGTTGTCTGATCTTGTGGAGTTTGTTTTGTGTGTAGTGGATTTCCGACTGTACTTGAAGGCACCATGACGGATTAAGGGTCCACCCCCCCCCCCCAAACTCTGATTATACAACACAATTGGAAGATGTGCCGTTTGTTCTCGTGCAGCTCACTCAACTACGGTGCTCGATGGCGCATCACTAGCTAGTCAACTATTGTTAGTAGGAATTTAAAAAGCGGAAGCAGCCCGGCATAAGAAACGAATGTGAGTGAACGTATCCACACTAACAAACAAATCTCCGGTTTTACTTATGCTTAACGTTAACTGTATTATCGAGAATTTAACTAACGGTACCTAATGTAGCATTGATAACTTAAGTTAGCATTAGCTTTGACTTCTGGTCAGTTTACCCGACGTCAGACTTTCAAATTATTTATTGTCTTAGTTGTTGTGGTTTATAGTTGATGCTGATGTTTGTTCATACTAATGTTAGTCCTCTAACGTTAATCGCGTTCCTCTTTTATAAAACCTAACTTTGTGAGTGGGTTAGCTGACTTTGCGTGAGTTTGTTTCATCACGTCGGTGAACATTGCTAGCGTTAACCTCCTATTCTGGTTTTTAGACCCGAGGGGTATAATCAATGGATGACCTGGGGTATCTCACCAGTGGGCACAACGTTGCCCTGGTCATTCTGTCCTTCCTCCAAGCTGACTGTGGAACTTCAGAGTACGGGAAGGAGCTCCTCTCCCTGGGAAAGGACTTTAATCTGACCCGGGACATCAACGGCCCCAGACCAGACGATGGAGGCCTCGAAACTGATGGTCACTTGAGCAGCAGCATCACAGCTGCTCTTCTTGATGTTGAGCCTTCGGTGGAACTGCAGTGGCCCAGTGAGTACCTGGATTACTAACTTTAAACTGTACTCTGCTCATATACAGGTGACATTATAGACTCAATGTCATACTAGCACACCACAGACAGTATATCAACTGTTTATCTTTGAGGCTTGTACAAACAAGTGTCTTATTGCTGAAATCAAAATGTAAGCTTTTTTGCTGGATGAGTCAAAAACATGTGGTTTAACACACCAGTGAGCTTGTGTAATGTAGATATTTTCCACTTTATCACAGTCAGAGTTATGAAACAACTTGTGTCTTTAAGGGAAAGCAGGAAGTGATCAAGTCGACCATTTCATGTAATGGCTGGCTCTGTTGAGGCAAACTCTGATCCACATTCATACATCTCTCACTTGATCACTGCATACAACTTTTAACCCCATATAATCAAGTTACGTGGGCTCAAGAGATCAAATGTGTGATATTGTTGTCCAGAATATTGAAATGGATTAAATGAAGGTGCATTGCTTGGAGTTAATTTGTGATTTGTGCACTGATGTTTGGACCGTCTTGTTTTCCTGCAGGGAACCATGAAGAGGCAGCAGCTCTTCAGCAGATTGCAGAAGGGCTGCGAGAAATCGGCGACCAGTTTGAACACAATGTTGTAGCTGAGGCTACGCAGAACCTCAGCAGGAACATATCGGCCTCCCCCTCTGAGGTGAGTCTACGCTGAGCTCGGGAGGTGTTGATGTTGTGACGGTCATTGTCTGTTATAGATAGGACTATAGATAATCTGAGTCAAAGTTAGACACACAACTACCGTGTACAGTGGTGTATAACAAGGAGATCACCACATCCATATTTTGTATCTTGCAATATAACCATTATTGAATTTGTCCGTGGTTTCCACTTTGAATCAAGTTTAGCTGAGGCAGTAAGCCACCCAGGTACTGACTTATTATCTTGTGATCCATTAGCCACAGTCACTAAATACAGCCTGAGCTGTGTTAAATACTGAAAGGTACTACAAGGGACTTTGATTATGTGTTGGTTTTGGTGGTGTCAGACCGTGATGCAGTAAAATTAGAGGTTTTCTAAAGAGATCCTGGTGCTCGGGAAAACTGACAGTCTGACCTATACAGTCCTGGTTCTGGTTCTCCGGGGCCTCCCTTCCCTCCAGCGGGGCCATCAATAAGGCCTGGGTCTCCAGCAGTGTGGGGTCATTGGTGATTGATTTAATCTGATCTCAGTGGTAATAATGACAAGCTTTAAGAATATCTACAAAGAAACAGACAATCTTGTCTCTGATGGTCTCGTTTGGTTATGTCGGTCATATAGAGTCATCAAAAATACATTAAGACTTTTTCATAACCAGTTAAAAGTACTTAGTTTGGTGGTTTCTGTTTGAGGATAGGTGAGGACCCATGTCCACTGTAAAACACCATGGGAAACCCTAAATGATGAACTTTATGCTCTACATTATATTGTATTAGTTTTATTGTTAGGTATTCCATAATGTTTAGTATTACAAGAACACATTTACCTAAGATATACTCGCTACTTAGGTGGGCAAGATATGCAATCATTTATTTATGCCACCCAAAACAAAAGTGCTTATTGCCAATATTATTTTAGCCAAAGGAACTACACATTAGATTTCTGTAATAGAGCAATGTGTATATACTGAGATTAGCCGGATTAAGGTCATTAAATTAGAATTTTTACATTAATGAATTGAAAACGTCATGTATCAATTGATCCTTTTGTTCATTTGTGCTTCGCAGCAGTGGAAAGATCACCTTCGGTGGGAGGTGGACAGAGTGATGAGGCGGGGCGTGGGCCTGGAGCATCTTCCCCAGGAGCGCGTCATCCTGGCCTTCACGCTCACCCTGGTGAAGGGAGTGTGCAAGCGGGCCCCCCGGCTCCTCAGGAACCTATTCGACACGGTACTGCAGCGCTTCAGCCCTGGTGACTTGTGAGGAAATAACAGAAACGCGTGGTGGAAGACAGCGGAATGTGAAACTGGCATCTGGTCGTCACGACCGGTTGACCGTGTTGGTTAAACAGAAGTAAAAACACTTTTCAGACGTAGAATTATGAGTTTAGAGTCATATTTGGAAAACGGGAAATAGGTTGATTTTGAGACTTGAATATTGTCATTCCTTCATTTGTTTACCATTGCTTAAAAAATGTATTTTTTCATTTTGTACTTGAAGGACAATTTTGTATTCGATTAATTTTCTTTTGGCGTGTACTTGTATGTCTATTATAGTGTCACGTGATTAAATCTATTTTCATGTGATCCGAGTCTAATTTCAACCTGAAATACTTTGAGATTGTATTTTATTGAACATGAAGTGTGTTGATCTTTGGCAATGCAAAATTTAAATGTACACACATTTGAACAAACCACCACAGAACAGGTTCTCATTGTTTTAATTATTCTCATCTCAAATAGTGTTGTAGGAAACTCGAGGTACAAAGTGTGTTTGGGACCTTTTGCCATCCACCCTACTTCGTACTTTAATGGTTTCCCTTTGAAAGCAGGAAGTCTGTGTATTACTGTGTATTACATGTGTATACACTGACTGACATACATGGAAATGGTTCATCAAACACAATGTCCTAACAGCCATTCTTGAATTTTCATAGTGATAAAACTTACCACAATATCTCCAAATTCTTTAAGAGAAAACAGAAGTGGCGACGCACCAGTGAACAAAATGCAGTTTGTCCCCTTTTAATAAACGGTTCTGATGACGAACTATCATGTGAGCTCTCAAAGGGGCGGGACAACTAAAGGTCTAGATTTAACGAGGGGGGAGAACGTGAGACATTCCACTAGAACACTTCACTTTCTGTTTAAGTGCTCCTGCACTGTACTGAAGATTGGCTCACTAGTAACTGCAGAGGTGATATTCATGCAAAAATGTATTTCATAGCAACACAAGAGGTTGAAACTTACTTCTAAAAACAAATCTCGATGAAGTGCGTTGATGCCGTTTTGATTGTCGCTGAAGAACCCATTTTTGCCATCAATACCTCATTCTACTGGTGAACAGGACAAAGTAACTGGGACAGACCGGATAGTCATTGGAAAGCTGAGGCATGAGTCGGGTACATTATAAGCAGTGGAGAAATAATAGTGATGGGTACAAAGCAAAATACTGAGAACTAAAGTTCAGTTAAAGTTAAGACGGGGAAGAAACTGCAGAGAACGAGGTTTAACAGAGGAAGTAGCACAACCAGTCAATCCAATCCCGAAAGCTGTTTCCATTAAAAGGCTGATTGAATTGACATTTCTACTAGAGAAGCAGCAGAACTGTATCCAAGGAACTGAAATACTTTCATCCAATCATTGTTTCAATACACAAAAACTGGAAAGATGGAACATAAATCTAAGCTAATATGCATGTTGTGTCAGAAGTAGGTTCAAACGGACAAATAAAATCGGATTAGTTTCTTGTCCATATCATACATTTGGTTTGTTGATCAGAATAAGTCATCACAGTTAGAGGGGGGGGACATATAAATAAATGCCACTCTGCTGCAGAGGAAGCGAGGAAGCTAGAAGTCTCACAGCAACAGCAAATGTCGACTTTGAGGTTCACCGTAGCAAAGGGAGTGTCAGTGAATTCTTCCATGTAAAAACACTGACTCATAACAGTGCTGACAGTGAGCCACAGACACAAGAGAAAGCAAAACAACAGGAAGAGGGGTGAAGTACACAAACTTTCCAACCAAAGACATAAAGGGCTGGAGTCTTAAGAACTAAGACAGAAGAAAAACACCAAAAGTAAGGAAAACAATGGAGTGCATTGTCCTCTTTCTGCGTGTGCACCTGGTGCAGTGGATCAGCAGTAAGGTTGTGGATTAGGTGAGATTTTGGTTTCCTGGGGGGCATTTTCACAGATTTAAAACCTTCCAAAAAAGGACAGCAGATAAAGCAGCCTCATTTAGTAAGAAGAGTCCCACCATGTGTGTACTAATACATTTACTTCTACCGTAACATTGCGTAATATACATTCTCCAACCTTGAGAAAGATTTTCTACTTCCTCCTGTAGCTCATGACACCATACGCCATTACGGCAGCGAGGACCACCAGTGTAGCGCCTCCATAAAGCATCGCTGAGAGATCTGATTCTGGTTCAGGCTGCATTGGGGGCTCCTCGGCTGGGGGTTCTACAGGGGCCATTACAGCCTCTGGGACGAGTGCAGCCTGCAGGACCTCTGCCACGGTCTCTGCCTCTGGCTCCTCTGGCTGGGGAGGCACTGCGACGGGCTCCTGTTCTGGTTCAGGAGCGGGTTCCGAGGTGGCGTCATGCACTGCTGGTGCTGCTGGGGTTTCCTTGGCTAGAGATTGGGGTGTCACCTCAGCAGGCACTGGGGCGGTTGTTGCAGCAGCTGGTTCTGGCTCAGGCTCCGGTTCTACCGCAGGAACAGATAACGGTGCTGCAGGCTGGGGCTCAGAGGGAGGGGGAGGCCGCTCTGGTTCTAAGGAGATGAGGGAAGGCTCCGCCGACAAGCTCGCGGGAATCTCTATTACAACCGGGTCCTCTAATGAAAGCAGGGACGCCGGGTCTGTCGAGTCCGCCTCAGCCGACACTGGAACGGGTGGAGTCTGCTCCCTAAATTCTTCCCTCAGCTCGGCCAGCTCGCTCTCCGTGCCCAAAACGCTCATCATGCTCTCGTCTATCGCTCCGACGTCGCCGCCTTCCTCGAGCAGCTCGGCGTCTTCGCGCTCGACGTGGACAATGTCCGAGTTCGAGGAGTTGTTCTCGCTGCGCTCCTCGGCCAGAGCCGCGCCCTCGTTGCTGTCCAGGCTCTTGACGTCTTCGCGGTCCATCGCGCCGACCTGTGCCCAAGACTCGTGGCTGGCCAGAGACACGGGAAAGCTTTCCGTCTGCCAGGAGCTCTGCTCACTGCTGTTGTCCCCAGTGCAGAGCAGCGAGGAGGGGGGGCTGAGCTGGTCGGGATGCTGGTCCCCGGAGAGGATGTAGATGTCGTTGCTGTCTTCAGCAATGGTCACACCTCGCTCCTCCTCTGGCTCGAGGCTGAAGATTTCACCCTGTGGTAGACAGACGGAGACAAATGGCATCAACATTCTGGATATGCAAAGTGTGTAAATGTGTTATTTTGTATAATGAGTTTGCTCTTTGGGTGCAGCAGTCTACATTCAGCACAACGCTGCACTGCTTTACACCTGATGTTAGCCTTGTATCACCACCTAGTGGTACACAGCTATCAATCAACAGCCATCTGCAAGCCTCTCCTCTTATGCAACACGCTTATCGTATGATCACGTGGGTGTGAGTGACTGACACAGAGGTCGGCTTGCTGAAGTGAAATATGTTGAAGTAAATCCCACGGTAGAGTCTGCGGAACTAAACACACTTTTTACCTCAAAAATATTGAAAAGGGTCAAACTTTTGTTTGTGCCAAAGCTAGTTTTTCATGTCAGCGTTTCACAAAACTGCAAAGAAAACAAAAAACGAGAGAACGACCCCGGCTGTCCACATCTTTCCATTTTGCTGAGTGTGCAGTGATGAGGTGCAGAACTCACAGTATATGGCTCAGAAATAGGCCATTGTTCACAATGAGCCCAGAGGAACATGATACATACTGACATCATGCTCACTGTCTTGAGGGCATGTGTGTTGAACACACCACGTGAATAAAGAGGCCAATAAGCCCTTTCTCACAGCAGCCACTTTGACATCTCATTGCAGGGCAAACACAGGTGCAATTAATTACATTAATTATGGCCCTGTTCCTATTACGCCAGCTGTGGCATCGTGCATGCTGGCTCACTGAAACTACTTTTACACACCACATAGAATGTGGCCATAATGCATCTGATCAACCACACCTGCTCTGTCAAAATACATACATCCAGCAGCTGACATAATCACAATGATATTGTCAACATGCTGGTGTTTAGCAAGTATAATATTTAGCATATTAGCATGCTAACATTTGCTTATTAGCACAAAATGCAAGTTACAGCTATGGCTGATGTCATTGGTTCAGCTTGGGTATTTGGTCAAAACCCCTAAGAATTAGACACATTAAATCATTGATCTGATGATGGTACTCCATGAACAGTTATTACCAAAAAGTACGATTCAACCAGAGGGGAACATACACATCTGACTGTACAAAATTCGCAGCAATCTATCCAATATTTGTTTGCGATATTTCACTCAAAACGACAATAGTGTATCTCAAGGTGGCCGTAGAGGAAAGGTCAGGGGATCATCAAAGTCTGTCGGCTTCATCCTCTGGGGACCATGAACGTCCGTATAAAGCTTCATTGCAAGCCATCCAACACTAGCAGAGACATTTCCGTCTGAACCAAAGTGGTGGGATTATCGTTAGCAAAGCCAAAATAGACAAAAGAAGATGCTGAAAGTAGGCTGGGTGTATAGTAAACAGTTCATCTGGGTCTACAGATAAACCATGCCGGACTGGGTTGAAGTGAAATGTTGGCTAGGTCATGAGCAGGCTTCTCCATCTTGTTTCTGTGCGTGTCACAGAGGTGTCACCTGAACAGACGGAATTCAAACAGACAGTGAGCACAGAGGTGTTTGTTCTGCGAGTGCAGCAGACAGAAATGTTCTGACAGCAAAGATCAGCTCCCTCAGCAACAACGTCTCTTTTGAAAACATGATAATATGTCACGATGTTCTTCAGAGTCTCATTGACCTCCAATTTGCATCTGATCCACACCGTATAGTTTCTGAGGAAGCATACAGTATGGAAATGATTATTGACCCGTGTAAATACAACTGTTAGCTGACATGGTCACGCTGTGAAGGTTGTTTTCCTTACAAGGGCAGTCCGTGGATGCAACGGTAGCTGAGAGATTAAATCTCTCAATTCCATCGTTATCCAACATTCGCTCTCTCCGTAAGCTGATTTGCATGTGGGAGAGCGCGAGCGTGTCACACAACCATTGCCCTCACAGCAGAACGGTGCCGAGGGCAGACAGGAACGACAACTGTCGATCCTTCGCCTGCATTTAGTCTCAAGTTCATGCTGCTCCTCAGTCATCTACAATTTAAAGCGACAATAAACCGAAAAACGAGGTTACACTGAGTGCCAACTGGGCGTGCCAAAACGTAGAACACAAGCACCAACGATAAACTATTGGTTTCATAACTTTCCAGGCAATTTGGTCGTAGTCGTCATAGAAACTATGTGATTTATCCTGGACAAATTTGATATCAAAACAGGAGAAGTTAGATTCATAGTGATTCATGAAAATACAACTTCACATAGAAGGATTCATGAAAAACAAAATGTACGAATACACAAAAATAATTCATCTTTGTCCATATCTTCACAAAGGAAAAATAATAAAAATACACACCTGACTTTATCCTTATATTTGCTCTTAATGCTCCGTGTCGTTGTCCTCCAGCACTGCTGGAGCTGAGAAACACACGGATGTTTTAAGTGTTGTTCTGTCGAGAGGCGTGTCCCATAGTTCTCCACCCTCACCCCGAGGCAAACTTTATAAAACAAGTTCACATTCCTGCTGGTAAGGCGAGGGTGTACCTCCCTACGTTACACTGCTCTCATATCAAACTGAATCAGACAGGCATCGGAGGGCCAAGTAACGTAGCCACTGCCCGAAAGCACCTTTAAAAAAAAACTAAGAAATATCTCTAAACACGCTGGTATATCGGGAGACGAAACCAGCTGCCACATTCTTGTGACGGTTACAAGTGCTTACATTGCCACAAACCGCTGCTTTGGAAATCCAAACATTAGATCTTGGGTGTAACAAAAGGCTCACTTTCCATATTTACAAAATGTCAAATCCACGAGAATACAAAACAAACAGGGTTTCACAGGTTTTTTTGAATGATTATTCAAACCAGAGACTCGTACGTGCTCTTGACATTTGTGAGGATTATGTCATCACTGTTCCTGGCGGACGAGCACTGCAGGAGGTCACACAGCAGCTGACAGAGCGACGGCTGGACTGCTCATCACGGTTTGTACCTTTAACTCTCAGTGGGACTCTGGTCAGTCATCACACAGAATGGCTATGCAAACTGTGGCCGGTGCTCTTTCACATTGCGATACATGCAAAACCAAATCATTTTGACTGAATAGGTTCATAGTGGAAGACCCGCTCTGCCTCCTGCCGCTACAGTCAGATGTGCAGCATCAAAATTTGCATGGGTAAATATATGTTTTTGTCCCGTCATCATAACCAGTGTTGTGGCAGCAGGGAGGCTGATGGACAGACAGGAGGCTGGAGAGGAGGGATGGCTGCCCTGTTTAAACCTTGGCAGGCAGCCAGCGTGCTGCTGCCGTACAAGTTATTAAGCGAGCTACAAGTGGGCCAGTCCAGCCCCCGGTGATGATGTTTTTAGAGGATTACGAGTTATTTTTTATTGGGGGGGGGAGAGGGGGCTTCCTCAGCCTACACAGGCAGTCTACTCTGGTCCAGTCTCACGCCAATGCAGTGGCACAGCGATGCACATGTTTCATCCCTGGAGCTGGAGAGAGGGCGCTTACATAACATGGGGGAGAACTGTTAAACTACGCAGAGTGCAGCGTGAAGCGACACGGCCCAGGCTGGAACCCTTGAAGCATCATCACGAAATGTCATCACTGCACCTTCACCACTGGAGCAGCAGCAGAAGCAGCGATTTCAAATGTAGAACTGAGAAGTTGCTTTATTCGCCTTTTAAGATATGCTGCTTTGACTATCAATTTACCATCAAACATACTGCAGTAAAATGATATGACTCCATTATCCCTTTTCTCTTTGCTAATGGGTCAGGTGCAGTTATCAGCACGCCACTTTTAAACCCCAGGAGTCCCATTACATCACACGCACAAGGACAGTAATATGAAATGGCTGTTGTGCACACTCAGTTCTCGTCCAGCAGTTTTCACTGAAGGACAATCATCTTGATTCCTCATCCGGAAAGACAAACCATCGCACCCAAGCACACACACACACACAACCCAGAGAGGCACTGAACTACAACCAACTAACTCTACCCTCCAGTTTAGAGCTTCCAGTACGTCTCTTTCATTTCAGAATCTCTTCCTCCAGTAGGCCATTTTCTTTTGCTCGTCTCCCCCCCCCCCCCCCCCCCCCCCCAAATCATATCCCCCCTCCTCCCCCCACCTGCCCCTGGCTGTGCACCGTCTTCGGGCTGCTGGTTTTGTTCCTGTCAAATGAAGTGTACAGCACATTAAGGTCATAATAATCCGTATTGTATTCTGATGTAACCGACAATGGCATCACGAGAGGCACTCAAATCTAGCAACTTCACTGGAAAGTGACCAACCCGGTACTAATCTGTGCATTTAGGATTTGTTTGTTTCGTGTCGCTTCAACAAAAAATGCGGGAACGGATTGATAAATAAATGAGATAAATATGAACAAAACATGCATTTAGCATTTTTGTATTTTTTTGCTCTGCAAGTTCACATTTCATGGAATGAGATTATCGTGCTACAATAAATTAAAACAAAACCTGTACAGTACGTTTACTCCCAACCACTCAACAATGACCCGAACTAGAACTATTGCTCGAGCAGAGAGATCTATTCGACGGCTAAGAGTTTCTCAGAGTAAACATTCGCGCACACAAATGCATCCAGACCAATGAGCTCACTCTGCCGTTGCTTCCAACATCACGAGTAAATCGTCCTACCTCAACGAGAAGTCTTGAAAACTCTGGATGGCCTGAATAAACAGCAGACGGTCCTAGTTTCTGCTGTCTATTGGACCGCTCGTGGAGTGGATGCAGAGAGAGAAGTGTGCATGCAGGCAGCTGTCAATCCAACGGAGATTTCACTTCGCTCTCACTGGCTCACCATGCCCACCCTCTTTCTCTTGCCCCTCCCCTCCTATCGCCAGTCTCTTCATGCAATCTCTCCCCCCCTCCCCCTCCCCCTCCTTTCTCTCTCTCCATCCCTCCATTGCTGATCCTGGCCCAGACTATCATCCGGTCATCCCCTGTGACATAACACAGAGCAAGAATGTCGCTTTGTTTGGAGCCAGCGCTTTATATTCACGTTACTTTGCACGAAACCGGGCCGAGCGTCGTGACAATGAGGTAGTGGCGACCGGAGCAGCGGTTAACGCGTCAAGTCACGTGACCCTTAAATCAGCATGACCTCGTTCGTGGAGCCATCTGTGGCACAGTGTTCCACTTATTACAACGTCGGAAAACTAAACGCTCACAATGAGACGACATATCAGTGGCACCTTGCATAGCTTAAATGCAAACTGCCGAGATTACTGGTCCACTCACACGAGAGTTCATGTTGTTGGGATGGTTAAATATGCTAAAGTAAAAATCCAAAGCGTTAATATATCTGCTATGTAAAGATGTGGTGGAGTAATGGTCGCGCTCCCTCTGTGTGTGTTGTAATCGGAGCTTCTGTGCTTTGTTTACATACCTGGACCGTGCATGAGTCCCGGTGTGTTGTGCCCTACTGGCTAGCTAATGGCCGCCACTCAACGACCCCCCTCCCCTCTGCTTCCCCCTCAGGGTTACACAGCTAGCTCAGTCAGCAGTGTTGCCATTGTTTGCACTGCTCGGGCTGTTAGCACCGCTAGCTGTAAGTTGTCACTGCGTTGAGAGCCTTGTGGAGTCAAACCCTCAAATGTAGACGTGCTCTGAATGTGGAAGTCTGTACCTTAAATAAGCATATTATCTTCATCAAGAAACGCCAATAATTAATTTATCCCGAAGAACAAGCAACATCTTATGAACCACAAATACTATCACATGTTAAACCCATGATTAAGTGTTGTCAAAAGATGGACGTTCAAGTTGTAAATGACCACAAAGAAGATTGTATGCAAGTGTTTAATTCGTTCTGGCTGATAGGAGGACAGCGGTTACTGGTTGTGTAAGTATTATTTTGTAAAAACAAAAAGACCAAACAGGGCCAGCGAAAGGGTCTCTTTGGTATAAAACATCTGTGCAGGTAACTCACTGATGCCCTCATCTGGCTATTCTGAGTTCTGCACATCTCATTTACTTCATATTTAAGCATGGTGCAAGCATTTTCCATCTAAATATGCACTACAAGAACTATTTAGACTTCCAGGTGACCAAATATCAAATAAAAGGGCGGGCATATAAAGCTTTTATTTAAAAACTCACCCATCCCCCTTGCTGAATGATGTAGCCCGCTTCATCCTCCTCTAGGAAGCGCACCCCCAGGTGCAACAGAGTGGTCAGAGACTGGCCTTCGCTTTGTAAAGCCTGCAGCAGCACCAAAGGGACGAGCACCTGGGAGAGAGGAGTAGACGTTCAAAGGTGAGAGGGGAGTGAGGGGAGAAGAAGAAAGGACGGCAGAGGTAATCCATATATGAAATGGAAGATTAAATGTTGCACCGTTTGCATGTTTCATAAAAACCCACCTTGCTCCAGCCTCCCTGTGTGTGTATTGAGAGATCCTGTGTTGTGTCTCTGAATCTCTGGTAGTCCAGAGGCCTGAAACCCACACAGACATAATCACTGGTATTAAACATAAACGGTCTACATATCGCTGTTTAAGAATTAGATAAATGTGTCTAGAATACAAGAGTTATTCATACTCGGCATCCAACATTAACTTTTTTTATCACCTGCCAAGGTCTTGCATTCATTGCATATTGTATTTCTGTGATTTCTCTTATAATCTGCGATCATGAAGTCAGATCTATGTTGGGTTGGCATTCACAAAGTTCACTAACAGATCTCGTGTGTGTGCCAGTGAAGCCACACACTCCTCCTTGGTCAAATTCACACACACAGCTGTAATGGATTTGTGTTATGCATTGTGCTATAGAATATAAATGCGTTTGTCTTGTAAAGCGGATGTCATCTATGCTTAAAATTAAACCCTTTTTTATAGTCAGTTTTTTTTGCATATGATTCAATATCTATGGAGCACGTCCAAAAAGCTGCTTTATATTCTCTGGGGTACTTCCCCTGAGCATGAATGGTCTTTTGCTCAGTAACACAGTTGGACATTGGCCAGTGCAACCACAGTCTAATCTGTTGGCCAGAGAGCAACTCCTGGTAACAGCTGGTGCTGATGCTGTGCTCAGGTGAACCTCCCTTATGTTCAAATGACTTAGATTAAAATCTACAATAGTGTGGTTGCATATTCATCATCTGTGAGCAGTCTCCGTCTGTGTGAACGCTGTGTGACAACACCTTTCCCAGTGATTGATGGATTTTCAAAGCGGTCTGGTTTAGAAAATTAAAAATGAGTGAGTGTGTGTGTGTGTGTGTGTGTGTGTGTGTGTGTGTGTGTGTGTGTGTGTATACGCGTGTGGGAAAGAATGTGTGTTAAGTCAATACATTCGAGCAAAAACTCATGCATGTTATTGTGTTCAATCTTAATACGATCAGAGCTGAATGCAAACCTTTCAGCCACTTTCATGCCGTACAGTTCAAGAGTTCACCAAGAAAGAAAATGACCTAAACAGCAGTGCATCAACATTGACTTGGTCATTCCTGAGATTGTAGCTCTCACACACACACACACACACACACACACACACACACACACACACACAC